CCTTCTTGGAGTTAGTCTGCTGTCCATTGGCATTCGCTGTCTCGTTTTCCTGAGTTCTATGGTCGGTTGTCTTCATATCCTTGCATAAAAAGTAAATCCTCATGATAACGTCAAAATACGGAAATGTCTACATATGGCTAGTTGTCACACCCACTGAAACCCAGCATAACGAGGACTGGCACTCACTCGTAGTTTGTGAGTAGTGAGGAGAGTAAAGTACGAATATCTCTAAGAATCACGAAAAAAGTAAATCCTCATGATAACGTCAAAATATGGAAATGTCTACATATGGCTAGTTGTCACACCCACTGAAACCCAGCATAACGAGGACTGGCACTCACCTCGTAGTTTGTGAGTAGTGAGGAGAGTAAAGTACGAATATCTCTAAAGAATCACGCGATGCGCACTGCCGATGATTCCAAGTAGGAACGAAACGGTTTTTGGCAAAGACCTAATGGAATTGCTGGATGAAAGTACCTCGAAGTAGTGAATGCTGAGAGACTGTAGAGTCCGACGAAAATAGCCAGAAATGTCTGTTTCTTGCTATTTATTTTGGAAGCTTGGACTGGATAATCGAGTTGTTTGAAGACAAACCGCAATCGATATTTCATGCTACGGTACAGTCGAGCTGCCATCAGGCACCTTAGCTGAACATTATGAAATATTCTGGATTTTAATTGAAACGGTTAGAGCGAATTTGGCGACCAGTGTCACAGTAAATGCACAGGATAAAGAACCACTTTGAAAAAGTGCGTTCAGCTGTTTGTTTCACCGGTCAGCACAAAGGATGCGCACTGGAGGTAACAGAGTCAAACTTGATGTCCGGGCATCCAGGTTTGTCGTAGCTAAGTGAAAAGCAATCACCGAGCCAGAAGGCAAACGCTTCCTGATTTGTGGCAAACGGCAGTCCTAGTAAGGGAGTAATGAGGCTAAAATTACCGAACATTTTAGTTCTCTCTCTAGGTCTTTGGTATTTCGTCCATCAAGAGAATAGTAAAGTTGAGGGTACTGGGAAAAGTGGCCTCTTAAGGAGAGGTCGCCACTCAGGACAAACTGGAGACACTATGCGTCTAATAAAAATGGGTACCAAAGCAGGAGCCACGGTTGTTCTCACTCCTGCTAGCGATTGATATCTAAGGACAGTTGGGAATCATGGACAGGAACAAAGTGAAATCCTCTATGAACTCACTCGCCTAGAACAGGCACGGTCACAAATCCGCACAGCAGTTGAACAGACACCCAATTTTCGTTGAATTTGCCTACTCATTCAACTATATTTGGAAGGAAGCTTCGAATATGCTCATTGACATAACGGCCGAGAATTTCACCTGTTTGGACCTTTCGCCTGTTAGTTCCATATGTTTAAAGTATGATTAACACCTCATGGGTGGCTCCGTCAGGAAACGGAAGGACTAAATGAGCCACATCTTTGTTCATGAATGCCCCATCAACACCCAAATCGTCCATTATAAGATAAATAAAAGATAACCATTCAGCTGTAACACCCTTTCGGTGCCTAGCTGCCATGCCACCCGAAGGAAGCACGAGGGCTGGGATAATGTCAGGTTACCCAAGCCTAGGCAGGGGAAGTCGAGAGGCAGAGGTCGGGTGACCTTCCGGTCAGTAGATTCGCGCTGTAACCACTTGAGGCATCTCGTCCGTTAACAGCGCACCAGGCTGAAATTCACATTATCGACCTGAATAACACCGATACAAATTCCGATACATTACACTTAACACCCAAATGTCTGGCTGTGAGATAATTTGCTCAGTGACAATAGCACAACACGCCTCTCATCATTAAGTGGAGGAAGCTTTCCGTCTCACTCCTGTTGACCTACAGTTGAGGGATTAACTCTCACGGAATAGCCGGCTGAAATTCCAAAAGCAATCCGAGTATAGCAACGTAGTCATGAAGTAATTAAACCGACACAGTTGGATTTCCTTTATAACTAGCATTTTCAGGTTCATGTCACACAGACTTGGTGGGAATTGTGAAAAGTTGAAAATAAAACTTCACCGTTCTCGAGTTTCTGGAAAACTGTCGCAAATTCGACATATCATTTTCGCCCACGCAGACGAGTCGGGTTTTTCCTGAACAATCTGAAG